TCAGTGATAGCAATAAGAAATATTTACTTCTATATGTCTGATAATTTGTATTTTTAAATCTGTTCTCTTACCAATAGGCCTTTTGTATTATTCCCTATTTATATTCCCTTTGTATTAGTATATTGAAGTGATCTTTGCAAACCCACTCCGACTTTGGCAAATTCAATTATAACTTCCACTTTTGAATTAAATAAAACTTTGTTTTTACAAGATAAATAACAAAAATGGCTAATCCTGTTGAAATACACAACATTTAAAAATATAGCCTGAACTTTACAGACAGGATAACATTTTTTAAATTTTGGCTAAATGTTTTCTTGTACCAGTTTTATGAAGCTCTTTACAAACCTTGTACCCTTGTGCAAAAGCTTTCTTGAATAAACCTGAGTAGATGTGCTGCTAAACCTCAAATGTTTGCAAACTAGGATGAGGAACTGCTCTGAAGGCACACCAGTCTTTCCTGACGACACCACAAAATCAGATCAGTCCATCTCAATCAGAATTCAAATGTCATCAATCTTAAACTTGCATTTTACCATACTTGCTTCATCGTAGGTGGCATCTTATGACCACGGGTCTGAGCCTCGATCGTGTTACCAGCTTATTTTCATTGAGATTCCCAAAATACAACACATTATCTGAGCACAACCTATGGAAGGGTCATACCAGAGCTCGCCTCTCAGTGTCCATTTGCATTTGTGTGATACTGCCCATAAAAGTTGTGTCTCTCCTTCAATTGGGCCTGTATCTCTAGGATGGAGCTGTGTTGCCTGTGACTAGTCAAAAGATGAGTGTTTCAAAGGTAATTGAAATTAATTGATCCATGTCTTTTGAGATACTGTATGAGAGTGATATGAGCGATCTTTAAAACATGCTGGACTGGAGCTCTCCTGTCATGATTGCTAACCCCTCCTCTTAAGGGCGCTCCAGCCCTTCCTTGTTATGCCCCATTGTCTGCACCTGGTCCCTAATCCTGCTCCCCCTTAAAAGCCAGACGCGGACCTCACTCCTGGTTCCTCATTGATTTCCATATCGTGAGAGCCCGGGGTCCTGCTGCGTCTGGCTCCGTTATGCTTTTAACTTTCTGTTCCTAGTTCCTGGTTTCCCTCGCCGGTTCCGACCCGGTTCCTGTTCCCCCCCTCCGGATGGATCGCCTGGCTATGGACTTCAGCCCTGGTTTCTGATTTCCCGTTTGGATTTCCTACATGGATTGTTCGCCTGGATTCACTTCCCCTGGACACCTGCACTGTATGGACACGCCCCCCCGTCTCCTGACCCTTCTCCTGCATGACCATTTTTCCCCTTGTGTCTTCACTATTCTGGATCGTGTCGTCCGCATAGGGCCCGGAAAGAACTG